ACACACACACACACACACACACACACACACACACACACACACACACACTACTATCCCTCCCCCGAAACCTATCGCTTTTTCTCTTGAGAACCCCCAATACATTTTCATTTGTTGCTTCAATAGATTATCAGGAATTTGGTGGCTTGAGGTAATAGAAATTTATTATAGTTCTGGCAGTCAGAAGAATGACATGTTTCACAGGTCTGAACTCCAGATGTTTATGGTGGTAGGTCCTAAGCCCGTTGCAGAATTCACTTTATCCCTCTATCAGTTTCTAGTGGCTCCACACATTTCTTGGCTTGTGGTTACCCGCTTCCAGTTTTAAACCCCACAAACGTGATTTGAGCCATTCTCAGTCACTCTTGATATGGATTGTCCTGCCTTCCTGTTATAAATTTAAACAGCCCTTATGTGTTAATGTTACATGGATCATCTAAGAAAATCTCATCTCTTTAAGGACAGCTGATCAGCGGCTTTAATTATGTATGTAATTTTAATTTCTCCTTGCTACATGACATACTGACAAATTCAAAGAATTAGGTTGGAATAACTATTCTGCCTACCTCAATGTCTTCCAATATTGTTTTAATCTTCTTCATAGTAATTTGGTCTCCCAGTATAACATACTTAATTGGTTATTGTCTATCTCCATGAATCAAAGGATTTGTTTTGTTCACTCCTGTGTCTCTGAAGATATTATTTGAACCATATATCTTCTGATTAAAATTATAAGGCTTACAACTAAGTTAGTGAGAAATTAGTGTTCTTGTTTTAATGCTGAGCCCTGATGTTTAAGTAGGGAATCATAAGCTGTGTTTGTATTGTTTTTGGAGACCTAAAATGGTTACACATTGTTCCTCCTCTTTTTTTTTTATTTGAGACAGGGTTTCTCTGTGTAGCCTTGACTGTTCTGGACTCACTTTGTAGACCAGGCTGGCCTTGAACTCACATCGATCCAACTACGTCTGCCTCTCCAAGTGCTGGGACTACAAATGTGCACTACCTGGCTGTTCCTCTTCTTTTAAAAGGCTCCAGTAAAGTGGAGACTATAATCCTTCATGGTAGCAGTTTTGCTTAGGTATATATGACCTAAGCCCTTGAAGCTCTAAACCCTCGATGCTCTAGAGTTTTTCCTTTTTGGTTTCCTGTTCACTATTTTACATCTTTTATTTTGGAAGTTTTGTTTTGTTTCTTTTCTTTTTTTGCTTTCTTGTTTGTTTTTCAAGACAGGGTTTCTCTGTTTTGCTGTCCTAAAACTCACTATGTTGACCAGACTGGTCTTGAACTTATAGAGAACCATCTACCTTTGCCTCCCCAGTGGAGTGCAGGGATTAAAGGTACGAGCTATCACTGCTCTGTGGGAGTTTTGTAATCTGTTCGGCAAAGCCCCAAGGAAAATGGAGTGAGAAAGATTTGCTTTACTATTGTTATAAAACAGATACAGAGGTAGGCTAATAGACAAGTTGCATACTTGAAGGCATAAATTTATATGGAAGGCCATATAAATTTAGGTATGTGAATGAGTTGTGTATTAGACAACCAGAGTTCAATGCTCAGCTTCTCCAATAGTATATAACTGTTCTTAAATTTATTTTCTTTTTCTTTTCTTTTTTTTTTTTCTTTTTTTGGTTTTCTGAGACACAGTTTCTCTGTGTAGCCTTGGCTGTTCTGGACTCCCATAGTAGACCTGGCTGGCCTTGAACTCACAGAGATCCATCTGCCTCAGCCACCCCTGAGGGATTACAAGCGTGCACACCAGGCCCGGCTGTTCTTAAGTTTCTTAAACAGTTTTCTACCTTGCAAAGTGAAATGGTCATAAGAGGTCTTATTTCATAGAATTCTCTTAAAAACCAAAATGAGATATTCTTTATAACACACAACTTCACACTTAAGTAGAGGTAACACTGTGTTTATTTGGCAACCTGGCTAACCCTTCACACTTTATAGCGTCAGTAAACTGATAGAAATTTAAAAAAGGAAAAAAAAAAAAAGAAGACAGGTCAGTAAGAATCAGTACCCACTCTCTCCTTATGTTAATGACTATTTCATTTGTAAAAAATTACTTGTGAAATAGAAACTTCCAAATTATTTATTATTATTATTATTATTATTATTATTATTATTATTATTATTATT